TCCTAACTGCTACTATGGTTACCCCATGGCTTTGAAAAAATCATGCAGCTTCCAAAAAATTCATCTTCCTTTACCAAAAAAAAAAAGGGGGGGGGTGGGACGACTCACCAGCTCCAATCTCCACTGACTTGTTCAAATTCATTTATAAATAAGCATCAAGTTCTTTTCATTAAAAAGCTTCTTTGATTCAATAGGAGGCAAAGGAGAGCAAGAAAAGGGCAGACAGAAGAGAAGAAAGAGGAAACATTAAAAGGAGTAAAGAGGAAGATGTTGACAATGTAGGAACGAGAAACTCAGAAGTGTGACACGGGACAGTTAGGGGTTTGTGAGGGGGGAGAGAATTTGTGAATACACAAAATACATAGAGACTGCACGGGAAGTCTGTATGGGAAGTATTTTTTAAAACAAAAGGACTTCTCTAGGAGCTCCCACCTCTTGCCTGATCAATGATCTTGCAAGGCTGAATCATTTTTAATTTAATACTTCTGGGAAGTGGGGGGAAAAAACACTCATTAAACATAGGCACAGTTGGCAAGCATTGAGTGTTAGCATTTGGCAGCATTTATTATTGCTGTTTATGGTGATATAAATTAGGTTATACTGACATAATTAATAACCCTAAATTTAGGGGCAATAAATAGCAATATTTATATGGAACTGCAGTGTCTGAAGAAGTCCAGCCAAAGAAAAACAAAATGCTGACTACCGTGTTGCAACTGTGAGCGTATGTGGGACTGCCAGGTGTGTGTGGGAGGTATGCAGGTCAGAGCAGACGCTGAGGAATGGCTGCGTGTGCAAGCCACTGACAGGAGCGTACGCAGCAGGTGCACAGAGAAGACAGCCCAAGAGCACATCACAAGGCAGCTTGTGACTGCATAGGTAAGCGTCAGTGCACATGCAACTCGATGCTCAAGTGTGTGATAACAAACTTAAGTGGACACAGTGCGGACAGCCAACAGTATTCTGTTTCTTTATGAAAATTTCCTTTGATGCTGCCGTAATTAAGCTTTTACAAGATCCCTGCCTGACCCTGGTTTCACTAGTTGAATCAGAAGATAATCTAGATTGAAGAGTAAATGCTCCCAGTACACACATTTCACTTCACTTTACGCTGCGCAAAGGTTGTTGTATGTCATTATCTCATTCTCCCAGGAAGAAAACTCGCAAAAAGAGGAGGAGAAAATGACCAAGGTCACAAAGCCTGTCAATAGCAGAGCCAGGAACAAAGCCTCTCGCTTACCCACTGCATTTTATATCAGTCTCCTAATGAAACCACTATTCTCCTTCACGGATTCTCCACCACTTAATAGACTGGAATTTCTTCTAAAACTTTCCTATTTATCTGTTTTAATTTTAAAAAGGGGTAGAAGTATGGAGGCAGAGATTCATAAGAACGTTCTTAAAAACTTGGATTCTTATAGAACAACCTACACAAAAGAGTCAGCCTGCAAGAACGATTTCTCCTAAGTAGTTTAATGTGTTTGTCACTTGAGACTGACTTACACTTGCATTTCTGGTGATTAAAACTATTTTTTCCTTGTAATTTATATCAGGAGAAAAAAATAAAGCATACAAATAATCATATCAGGTCAGACCACAGATCTATTGGAGGAGGCATCCCATCCCCTGCAGTGGTCAAAAGCCACCGTCTGACAAAGTGTAAGATCAGCTTATAAAAGGTAGTACCTGTCATTATCCTTAAAATATATAGCAGTTATCACATCAGCTGAATATTATTTAACAAACCCTACACCTGACTGCTGTTCAGGATGGAGCAAAACACTCAGCCACACACAGCAACACAATCATCACTTCTCTCTGGCTTGAACAAACTCAAATTAACTTCAATATTTGGTAGTGATCTGCACTGTTATGTGATGACAACCTCACTTGTACAAACACACATCACCACTACCTACATTTAGCTGCAACTCTCTCCATCACTGACAGACAGGAATGGATTCTCAGAGCATCAACTGAAGTGAAAGGGAGAGTGGAGAGCTGTTTCCCAGCTCAGCCACGCACAGTCAGAGCATAATTGCATTACTGTAGTCATATCTGTGATAGAGGAACATTCTCTGCATGTAACTTTCAGATCGCATTAACCAAAGCAAATACCAAGGCCCTGATCGTCTTGTTGCTGCACAAGGCTCCCAAAGTGCAATCGCGAGATACCCTGCTGGGATGAGCACTCTTCCACTGAGCTGTGCCTGCAGCAGGGAACCAGCAGAGGTAGGGACACAGCTGGGCTGCTGGAAGAAATCTTTTGTAATGGTGCACTGACATTCATCTCTGTGATGGTCAGGGAAGCGTTAAGCACACTCTGGCACAAAGGATTGGGGAAGAGGCAGAGTGAGGAGCTTCAAAAGAACCACCAACAGCAAGAGTCCAACTCTTTCTTAATTCAAGATACTGAGATAAGACTAAAGAAGGATTAACACCAGTTGACAAAAAGATAGAAGGAGAGTAGGGTAGAGATTTACTGGAAGATGCACATCCAAAGCAAAAAATAAAAAAATAAATAAATAAATAATTAAAATCAGTGTGCATACTAGAAAAGCCAGAGCCAGGATGGTCAGGGCAATGGAACTGTTCTGGATGGCTTCTACAGCAGCTTTTGCTATGGAAGAGGTCACTTTACCTGAAAACTTTGAGCATCATCCTAGCATTAAAACAGAAGGGATCACTGTCTCATAATAAGAAATAAAATGGCAGGTTACCACATGCAGTTATTTCCAGCAGAGAACCAAGGCAATTGTTGGCCTTGACAGTATATTTGACGCATTCAGTGTGTCAATCCCTTCCACAAAAGGGACTGTGAATCCCAAGACAAACAAGTGGCTTCATGAAATGTGTTTTAGAGGTGTAAAAAATACGTAGCAAGTACCTACTTAGAAGTGTTATGGTTGAGAATGGGCTACAGACCTGTTTCCTCAGAAAACAGGTTCCCTCATAACATTGGCAATGATTTGATTTGAAAGACAACAGGTTTTACTAAGGCATTTAAACCTGGGTAAGGTAGAACATTAATAGCTAAAGAAATCTGAATGTGCATACACAGACATTAAGGACCTGAAAGTTTTTGTTTGTTTGTTTGTTTTTTTCTCCAGTGCTCAGTTATTTTCACTAAACTGTCAGTAAGCCTCAGGCCCAGAACAGAAGTATTTCTTTCCATGTTGCAGGGCCTGAGTCCACTGAAAAAGCATGTGGGAAGAAACAAGAATATCTGAGCCACAGGAGACTTCAAAGCCTACAAGCATTTAAATTAGAGCATAAAAGAATGGTTCTCTCCCTTCCCCAGGCCTCATCAGTTACAAAGCCATGGCCAAGTCTCTTTTTCCCTGCTCCTACTCCGCATGTAAGGCTTACCAAACTTTTTCACTTGTCGGCAGGTTTAACTACAGTATAAGCTCCTTTGCATGAGGGAAGGCTAAACACCTTCCTGCATGACGTGTGCTCAGACAGAACACTTCATCCAGGTGTCACCGAGAGCCACATCCTCCCTCTCGAGGGCCCCTTCTCTGCTATACTCACTCCTGACAGCTGGAGAAAAAAAGGTCAGACGTTCCCTCCAGTCCTCCATCTGCTGGAAACTTTAATTAAGCACAGTGAAAGGAAAAATAGAAAGGGGAAAAAAAGCCACAACCTTTCCTTTTTTTGCTTCTGCTGTCTGGAAGGATCAAGGAAGAATTTGGTGTCAGCAGAAGCTTCAAATACTCAGGGGCAGTATTGAGCTACTCAGAATAGTCTTCCCAAACTACTGACATGACACACTCATGTCCTGGGGAGTGTAGAAGCACAAAAACTGTTCAGAGTCACAGACCAGAGACCAAACAGAGACCGAAGTCGCTCTCTGCTGAAGCCCTCACCCACAATTGAAATGAATTTGTTTAGAGCCAAACAAGTTCAAGTTCTTGTTTAGGGTCCTTTTTCTGCCCCTGCAACACCTGATCAGCACAGCCTGACCTAAAAACAGACGGATGACTGTAGTTTAAGATAAGTTGCTCCTCTACACTTTGTTATGTATTACAGTGCTTGTCTAAAACCATTTTTCAGCTTTGAGATTAGTCCATTCCAACAAGCTAGAGGACACAGTCCTTACTGAAACCTGCAAGACCTTATTACCAGGTCAAAATGCACAGCTTCTCTGCTACAGATGGGATGTGGTCACAACTTTCTGCCCCTGCATCAGAGACAATACAGAGACTTACAACCATTTACAAGCAGTCCACAACTCACCATCACTCCAAAAACAGTCAAGTGCAAACCTACCATATCATACTACACTTGTCAATCACTCAAGGGGAATTCCTCTTTCACTAGCTCTGTAGCGATCTATTTCATTTCACTTTAACATATTAGAAGCAAATTTACACTTTTTCATCTGTTGGGAAGGGAGAAGGAAGGTATGTTAGCGTGGATGGGCAGGGTTGGTGTAAAAGCAGATATAAAGAATGCAAAAATGAATCTGCATTTTTGTAAGCTCAGAAAGACTTGGTATCTCTTAGGAAGCGTGTGGGAGAGAAGATTGAAAAGGAGGTGGGAGAAGGAGGGAGCTTCACTATATGGAAATGTTTCCATGAAAACTTGAAGACTTAATAGATCCTTACTCATCTTCCCTCACTCAGGCTATGCAAAGCATTAAAGACAGTTATTCCCAAGTATATCTCCTTACAGGTGAAATTTGCCCTGCTGATTTAGCAGAACAGATAGATCTCCATTTAGCAATCAAGATTCACATTGGTACCACTATGCAGTATGAGACATCTTATGGCCACACACAGTACAGAATCACAAACATCTGACCCACGCAAGACAGCGCACTGGGCTACATCCAAGAATTACATTTATCATACAGGATTAATAAAACGCAAGGTTCTAGGCAAAGAGAATTCTTCTGACCCAAAACATGCAAGAAAAGACCTGCTCAGTGTACAGGAAAGAAGCCTGCAGGGAAACCCAGCAAAACCCCACAAAAAGTACATGCCGCTACAACTCACTTGCCATTGATGACTCCATCAGGATTGAGCATGGGGACAATCTTGAAAATGAAACATTTCCTCAGGAGATCAGCAATGGGATCGTTGCTCACAAGGAATTCTAGGGTCCCTTTCATAACCCAGCTAGCATTGCTTTCTCCAGGGTGAACACGGGCCATTAGAAAGACATATGGACGACTGTCTGTAAAACAAGCAAAGATTTGAAGATGTTACTCATCGAAGCTGCAGAGGCAGAGTTTTCGAAATTAACCATCATTTCATAAGCATCCAATAAAATTAGAAATAATGTGCACAGCTAAGACAGTCCACTACTTCTGCTGTTTTCAGTTAATGTAGACACAGACTCAGATTTGCAGGAATGATTTTCAGAAGTTGCAACTAGAGCAGTTCAGCTGTTTCTAGTAATACATTTGGCAGAGGAGACATAAGCTGTGGGAATTTGGGATAGCAGAAAGGAGTTTCTGTTGTTGTTTTGTTTTTAAATCAAAATTTTACTAAACAGTCCATTGATAAGCTCTGATGAACCCCCCTTTCAAAGTAGACTTGCAGCTTGGCAGAGAAAGTTGCCTTGTTATCAGATATGTTATTTGCTGTTCCTGTGAAAAAGCACCCACATTTGGCCTAGTTATAAATCTCCAAAAACTCTCAGTATACATATGCTTAGAAAAGACCAAGTCTGACAGCAGATTCTTTGAAGATCCCATCTGTGTCGAGCATACTCCACGGATGGGCCAAGGAAAAAGGAGAAGGCAGAGGGAGACACCTGCCAGGCAGTGAAAATAAAAAGGAAAGGACAAAGCAATGAGGTGCCTTAAAAATATCCCTTTGTGAGGCGTTCACAAGCTCACGCAGCTGTCACAAGTCAACCTGACAGATTTGCTTTAGTGGAAACCAGCATCTGTCAGGGAATCACAATGATGCCGTGATGTTTTTTCCAGCTCTGTCAGGTGATGTCAGAGCTCAAGCTCTGTTCACTTGCATGAATTGAAGGGACCTCAGTTGACAGGCTTTGGAGAGGTAAAAGGACATAAAACACAACGAAACGCATCATCTGAGTGCCCTTGTAAACAAATGCTGAATTAGCAAGTTATGCTCCTTCGCCCTTGGCTCCCAAAGCTGTCCTTCAGTTTTCTAAATGCTTTACAAATCATTAATCAATTAATGTGAAACGGGGAGGTAGCACACCATGCTGAAAAATATAGTGCTATTAAAGTGCTGTTTAGTGATTTCGCCAACAAGCAAAGACTGCTGGAGCTGAGAACACAAGTGAAATTTTCTCATTTCCCAGAGAAAGAATAAACAATAATTCTTCTTAAATGTATATTCTGTACACTTCTGCTCAATCTGTACATTGTAATACAATACAATTATGTCTTTCAGGGATGCATACAGATTTAGAAATAATCCCCTTTGTACTCTCCCCACTTCCATGCCTTCCTCTTAAGCATTTGGTGGGCAATACTGCACTGTCAGCTCAAAGAACTCATAGAGAACAATCTTGCTGTGGTCCAGTAAAGCAACCTGAACTCTTTTCTCAATAGCCATACATTTTTATTTTTTAAATCGTTCTTACACCTTATTCTTGCACCACATTTTTACACATCATAAACCCAAATTATGTATATACATCAGTGAAAATACAAAAAGTGCCCAAGTCACATCCCAGTCATTCTGCCTTTTTTTCCCAAAATTAGAATACACAATTTCTACTCTGCTCCAGCTAGATGCTGTGCATTACAATCTACCTTAGTAATGCTTTTTAATAGAAACAAGCAAAAAAATAGCTTTCACAAAGACATCAGCTGCATTTTGCCATTTCCAAACATTTTCTTCTTTCTCCCATCTCCATGATTTAGTGCTGTTTTGCAGGCTCATTGCTGAGCTAAACTTATGGGACTGTGCTGTTGTAGTGGAGAATGAGGCTCTTGAGGACTCCTAATGGACAACAGCTGTAAATAGCACAAAGCAAAATAAAACATGTTCTCTTGCAATTGATGAATACAGCTTTAACAACTCTTGTCTCTTCTGTACATTGGGAGAGCACACAGCATGTTAATTGAGAGATTCTTCCCTCAAAGTAAGAAAAGAAAAAGAAAAAAAAAAAACTAAGCAAGGACTTTCTCATCTCTGCTAATTGCAAATACTGTGGGACTGCCAAAGACCTGAGTTCTGTTCTTCTTCTCAAGGCCGATATGCCTGTCTGTCCTCGTTTCAATGTGAGAAAAGCTTCTAGAGTTTCCTTATCTTAAAACCCAGGAAATGGTTGGGGTAAAGAGAGCAGGCAGACATTATCTACACTGTTTCCCTGTGGGTGACAACAGTGGCAGCCCACAGCTGTAGGGTTCAACCAGGGAGTTCTCTCTACTCCAGTTAAAGCTTCCTTTAATAGCTCCCCTCCTGACAAGCACGATTGCAACTCAGACATCCCATCCACAGGAGAGTCATAACAAAGGTCCGTACCAGTAGGCAAACTGCAGATCTTGTTAAGTGCCTGTTCCCTTCGCAGAAGGCATTGCAGCCAAATCCCATATCAAAGTGCTGCTCTCCCCCCATACTGCACCCAGCGTGAAGACTAATGAAGCACTAAATAGAGCAGAGAGTTGATGTTATGGCCATAACACTTGCTACCCTTGAGACACCTGGGAAAGAGAGACCTGACTCTGTGACAGGCAGAAATCACTCAATCCTATAACTGTAAAGCATATCCAGTAATTTATCTGCCTTGAAATTGTTGTGATAACTGTGATAAACATTGCAGCTTATGAAAACAGTAGACAGCAGCATTGGTCAGCTGTGCTCAGTTCACCAGCTGGAAAGCACCAGCCAAGATTTGTGCACTAGGCTGAGCTGCTTCACTTCATTCCTGCCCCATTACTGCAGACCTGACCGGGCCAGCTCAGTGCTACCCAGCATAGCCTGCTGGTTTCCACTGGTGCTCAGCCACCCTTCCTATGTGTTATTTCAATCCTAAGCCTTTTGTGACTACCTAGTGTGCCACATCACACCTATCTTCATGACACTGAGCTACAAGTTCTCAAACACATCCCTCAGGGCCCAGAACAGAGCTCGAGTCTTCAAAATCCTCTGGTCAACGCTTAGGCAGAATCCTTCCCAAGTTCTGGGGAAGCTGCCAGAAAGCTCAGGTTAGCCATTTATCTCTGCAAAGCCCACATGACACATAACCTTCTCCGGGAATGTAAATAATAAAAAGAGAGAGCAGAGGAACCTTTTCATGCTACATAAAGCCTCATCCAACAGATCTTGTCTCATTACTCTGCGTTACATTTCGACATGGCCAGGATTTAACGTGGCACCAACAAAACCAGAGATGAGAGATTAAAGCATCACTGATGCCTCTTGCAAAACTTTGAGCAAAAACCCTTTGAGTAATAATTCTAATGTATCACCTACTTCCCATCTCCCCCTCTCTTCACTCATTTTTAACTGTGGATATATGCATGAAAATAAGAGCTTTGTTCTTTCAGCACTGCTAACTTGCTGCTTAATCTCCTGTCTGTTGTAGGGATCCTCCTCTCATTATGCCATCACCAAGATTCACTAAGAGGTGACTTTGATGTTACTAATCATGGCATCAGTTGGGGAAAGAGCAGCCTGAAAGAAAAGAACAAAACCACATTAACACAGCAGCGTCCCTCATCAAGACGAGCACAGAAAGGAAAGGAAATGCAGTTCCAGATGCCCTGACCTGGGCTAAGGTTCTAAATTATATCAAGCTGAGATTTGGGCTGTGCCATTTGTAAAGGGAGAAGGTTTTGAAACAACACAGGATTTTATAAGGAGTCAAAGGGAATTATATACACAGCATGTAAGAAATTCAACCTAGATCCAGGTCTTGACTCGAATTTTTCTGGCTGTGCTTCTGCATACCTCTCTTTCCTTTACTCCCCAGCCCAGGGCCACTAAAACGCAGTGTGTTGTGTTTATTTTTTTTCCTCCCTTTATTTCTAAATACAGCATGAATTTATCATGAGCATTGCACAGATCAAAGGGTCAAGTTTACCCCAGGACATAGGAGACAAACCAAGAACGCTAACTCTCCCTCCCAACTTAATTATCTGTGACCACTACAGCTTATTCTGAGTCAAATGATAGGGAAAAAGGAGCACCAAATGTAGCTCTTCCATGCATGTCACGGCTGCGTCCTGCTCTGGATACATCTGATATGCCCAAGGCTGCATAGTTACGCAAAGTCAGAGAGAAGACAGGATATGGTGTGATGTACAATGAATATATTAAAGTTTGAAAAAAAATTACTTCAAATACCGAGATCACAGAAAACATGAGACTGATCTGAGGCAGAATCTGTGTCAGACACTTTACTCTCCTCCTAACACTTTTCCTCTAGTTGTCAGTCTTTCGGTTACTTTAAGATACAATTCTTTCCTCCCCCATTCTTCCCCCACCCCAATGTTACTGTCTCCTTGCTGACCCTGCTTTTGGCTAAATGCTGCAGAAGCAGACATGTCTTGTGACAGAGGCAGAACACAGAGTCTGGCAGGACCAGCTGTTGTTTTCCAGAATTATCAAGGAGCTATTCCTCCCTTAAATACACTTACATTATATGCATTATTACTCTTACCTATGGCAAAGAAGTGAACACTACAAATTGCCTTGGCTAGCTGTTCTCTACCTTCATAGCGTGGTGGGGGAGTTTCAGGCTCCAAGTTGCTTGGCAACCTCCTTTTGTGCATGGGTTTTATGAATTCATTCACCTTTGAATCAGCGATGATTGGGGAGATGCATATGGGTATAAAGCATCCAGCCCTGGTGCAGCCTGACATCCTACTGCTGCTGGTCCCAGTCTGCAGTGACTTACTCGCATTCACTGGTGTGCCTGCATATTTACACTAACTTCGCTTAGATCCTTGTTCACACAAGTCTTGCATCAAGCCACTCCACTACATTTCCCGGAATAGTGTCAGGACTATGCCTATCACTACATAGGTCATCCTCGTCACTAGGGCATCCTAGTTGTCCCTTTAGAAATTTGATCCATGAAACCCTGTGGTCCTCTGGAATGAACTTTTATGTCCTGAGAGCTGCTGGAATCACTATTCCAGTCTACAGAGCATCTCAACCACTTCTTTTTATCTCTGCGATGCCAGGCATCTGCTTGCTACTTAAGATCAGACAGTTAAAAATGTTAAATGTTAGCCGTTA